TAATCAAGTACTGGATATTCAATATACGAGGTGTGTTCAAAATATAGGCTGAATTTTTATTTTTCTCAAGAAATATTTATTAATTCATCAGTTTTTATTTTGTCCGCTTTGAAGTATTTCCCTTTAATCCTCGAAGCAGTTCTGATACGCACTTTTTGGTATGTCCTTGAACTCTTGCTTCTCGCAAGCGGGCGCATAACTTCAAGATAATACTCCTTATTGACCGAACGTCCATGTGGCATGAACTCCTGATGCACTACGTCACAGTAATAAAAGAAAACAGTAACCGAAATTTGATCGAACTTGACGTGCCTTTTTTGGTCTTGACTCTCTTGGGCTCTTCCATTGGGACGATTGGACTTTATAAAGACTTATTGCAATTGTTAGTGGTAAAAAACAAACAGTTTTATTTCTCATTTTTCATAATGAAGTATACGTATATGGGAGCCTTGCCTAACATCCAAAGTAACTTTTGTTACAAATAAAAGTGGTGAAAAACAAAGTTTTATTTCTCATTTTTCATAATAAAGTATATGTATATGGGAGCCTTGCCTAACATCCATAGTAATACTGATTGTGGAATTGTGAAAGATATGAACTTGTTGACACAAACATATTCGAAATCTGTTAGTAAGAAAACTATCAATCAACTATATATCTTGATTTAGTATAGAGTTTTTACGAATCTTTCAACTACTTCCAGTATAGAACTTACTAATGTGTCCTTGCAAAAGTGCTATTCTTGCTACATGTTATATCAACCTAGTTGGAATCATCGGAGATGTAATACCAAAGGTTGATCCATGCACCAGTATAAAATTGTAATTCGCAAGTCATAACTGATATTTTGCAAAAGGTTGTATCATTTATTTTCAGTGAGAGTATTCATAGACTTGTTTAATGATAACAAGTGTTTTCCAACATGAGTTCTTACATTTTTTCAACATTGCGTCTTCAGACTAGAACATGAATTCACTCTAACTTAATATCTGTTCATTTTTAGTGAAGTGAACTGACACTAGATATTAGATAGTAGTAATAGATAACTATTACTAAACGAAATCAATGAATGTTTAGTGAAATCAGAAAAATGTTTAGGTAAATTCCTTAAATTATTTATTTTCTTCAATTGACATAAACAATTGAAAGTTTTGAAATTGAAGAATATGGAAAGTCCCTTAATAATTATAAATGATACCGTAGGAATATAGATATCGTGGAAAAAACATATTAAATAATAACTGATACAAGGAACTCTGTTATTGCCACTAATTCGATGATAGTAGTACTTTTCATACTCATGAAGGTGTAAGAATGTAAAATACAATTGAGCATCGCCTTTTTTACTTTTTGAGTAAAATACTTTCTTTTTAATGGAAAACCTTCCTTTCTACAATACATTTTTGTGCCTGTTTCTGAAACGCATGAATACTTTTTTCAACAGGGTCCTGCTATTGTCTCTTGCAATGTATTCACATCAGCATACAGCTGCTTATAAATTTCGTTCTTCAAAAATTTTCACAGACAAAAGTCGAGAGGGGAAGGTCAGGAGATCTGAAAGGCCATCATTGAACAAAGCCAAAGGTTCCAATCTATTTGGATTGGAACAACACTTATTGATGTTCCAATGATAAAAAACAAAACAAATCTTCATGTATCTCCTGCCAATGATGTCTAACTAGTAGATGTCAATAAAGAACAGATTTGTTAGGAAAGAAAGGTTTTGGCTTTCTTTAATATACTTCTTTTAATTTAAATAAATTTCATATATTCATATCCTCAAAAGGTTTTTCTAAAATATGATTCAGTATTGAAATGGAATTTTAGAAAGTTGATGCCAGGAAATTGGAAAAGGCCCAAGCTAAATTGCAAGAGAAGCAAGACAAGAGAACAAAGGAAGTTAGAACCATAGCACCTCCAAAACTGCAAACCGCCTCTGCTTCGCAGGTAACCAGTAAAAAAGAAAGTAAATTAGAAGCTAAAGGCAACAATAGGACACAGGATATCAGAATAGAGAACTTTGATGTAGCATACGGTGACAGGTAGGTACTTATTGATAACCCTAAAAATTCAAAGTTGAATTGTGAAAATATTTCCTCTCTTTCAGAGTTTTGCTTCAAGGAGCTGATATAGTTTTGGCATTCGGTAGGAGATATGGTTTGGTGGGTAGGAACGGCCTGGGAAAAAGTACAAAAAATTATGAAGCCAAAGCTGGACTTTGCATAAGGAAAATCAACCGTTGAGAAGTGGTTTGCTAAGTTCAAACGAGGTGTATGCAGTGGACGCCGCAAATAGACTGTTACCGACGAAAAACACCCACAAAATAATTTTGGATGATCGCAAAGTGAAGTTGATCGAGATAACTGAGGCTCTAAAGATATCAAACAAACGTGTTGGACATATTGTGCATGCATATTTGTGTATGCTAAAGCTTTGTTCAAAGTGAGAGCCGTGCGAGTTCACAATTGACCAAAAACAACCACGAATTGATGATTCTGAGCAGTGTTTGAAGCTGTTCCACCATAAAATACACGAATTTATGTATCGATATGTGACAATGGATGAAACATGGCTTCATCATTTCACACCAGAATCAAAACGAGTGTTGTCAATAATTTTCGTGGGTAGATGTAGACACGACCCGTTTTTAGTGAAACTAATCGTTGGAAGAGTAGTTTTCAAATAATGCTTATTCAGTTTTTCTGAAATATGTTTCGATCTTGGATTTAACTAATTTATTTCTTCAAGGTGGTAGGCGACGACACATTAGCCTTAGATAGTGTTCTGGAATGTGATACAGTGAGAGAAGAACTTCTCAAGAAAGAGAAGGAAATCAGTTCTGCTATCAATGCTGGGTAAGCTTTTTACCTTGTGAAAAATATCTTACTTTTTTATTTTCAATTTAAGTTCTGCAGATCCCGAACTGAACTCCCAACTCACGGAAGTCTACACTCAATTACAAAACATCGAAGCTGATAAGGCTCCAGCGAAAGCATCTATAATACTTAATGGTCTTGGGTTCACATCTGATATGCAACAAAAACCAACAAAGACTTTTTCGGGTGGATGGAGGATGAGATTGGCACTTGCGAGAGCCTTGTTTTCAAGGTTAGTATTGAAATAATTATTTTCATTATGTTATATGTTATATGCATCTTTGTTATGTTCTTTTCTTCTTCAAGTACAGTTCATTTCCAGTTTTTAAATCTTGATTTCTGTTGATTTTTAGACCAGACTTACTGTTGCTTGATGAACCTACTAACATGTTGGACATCAAGGCAATTATATGGTTAGAGAACTATCTACAAAATTGGCCTACCACTTTACTGGTGGTATCTCACGACAGGAATTTCCTAGACACGGTGCCTACTGATATATTACATCTACATTCACAAAGAATTGAGGCATATAGGTAAGTGTTATTATTATATGTTTATTTCTTACTGTTATTTTTGGTATATAATCTTCCATAATCTGAAAAATAAAGTTAAAAAAAAATTAAAAGTTCACCCTGAAAAGTTACTGCGTAATATAAACCATTGAAGAGTCCAATTAGTCAGTAACTTGTTGTATTCATAAATTTTTCCTACAAATTGAAAATATCAAATATTTATACTTAGCTTTTTTTTAGTGGTCGAAGTCTAGGATAAATAACAATCTTTTTTCATTTTCAAAACCTGAATTTTGTTTTGAAACTTTCGCTTTAAATTGTGATAGCTCCAATTCTTTTGACATACGTCAAAATAATATTTCATCATTTGTAGAGTATTGTATGAACCTTAGGGTTTCTGATTCTTAATGGATTATTGATATACTGTTGTAGTTTTGGGTACTTTTTTTCATATAAACGTATTACATATTGATGCAGCAGGAGCTGCTAAAAACTTACAATAATAGCACAATATATTAATGTTAATTAAGATTATACCTTTGGTATGAAGATATAAAAATGTATGAACTTTATTTTGTTCAAACTTGCATTTGCTGTAATAACCCAAATTGAGGAACATTCCCCATTGTCCGAACATTATAGACCTGTCTCAAAATTATCTATTATAGCTAAGTTTTTTGAATCAATTGTGTACGATTATCTATATTAATGACATAATCAATATTTAAAATAACTGACATGGATTCATTAAAAAAAGATGTGTCCAAAGAAACTTATTCGAATATATGGAATTTATTTTAAAAAATCTTGACAGTAAAATTCAAGTAAATGCTATTTACTTGGACTTCAGAAAAGCTTTGGACAAATTTGATTGTGGTTTACTAGTATAATTAACTAATTGAATATGTTGAAAAAAAATGACATTTTAATCAACAGTCAATTGGAATTTTGCCAAATGCACTCGTGTGAGTCATCAGTGCAACTATCTCTAAGTAAATTTAGAACTGGACTGTTGTGGCAATGTTCTTTGGCCTCAAAAGAGCATTTGAGACCATTGATAGGTCTATACTACTAGCTGAATTGAATATATATGGAATATAGGGTACAGTGACAATTGGCTATCTAATTATTTGACCAACAGAAAACAACGGGTAAGAGTGAAAGACATATTCTCTTGTGAAATTGATACCTTCATTACTTTAATGATTACTTATGACACTTTGTCAATAAGAAGTTATTCTTAGACAATAAAGTATCTATCTATCTATCTATCTATCTATAGGGTACAGTGACAATTGGCTATCTAATTATTTGACCAACAGAAAACAACGGGTAAGAGTGAAAGACATATTCTCTTGTGAAATTGGTAATGATGTCGGAGTTCCTCAGGGTAGTGTTTTGTGTCCGCTTCTATTCATACTATATTTAAATGACATGCCATTGTTTGTTGATTGTGAATTTATGAACTTTTTTGCTGATGATACTCTATTGGCATGTAGCGATGTGAACCTCGAAATGGCTATACAAAAAATGAATAATACTCTAGAAAGTGTCGGCAATTATATGAAAATGAATAAACTAAAGCTGAATGTATTGAAAACAAAAGTAATGATAATCACCACCAAATTCAAATACAGCCAAATCGACTCAAAAATGATAACCTCAGCATCGATGATGAAAGAATTGAATTAGTGAATTCAACTAAATATCTGGGATTCCTGATGGACAACACTAATTTGATGAACATTTTGAGTATATTCATGAAAACATTTTTAAAAAATTATTCTTTTTCTCCAGAATTGCTAGTAATCTTTCAACCGAGTCAAGTATCACTGTTTACAAGTCAATTGTTCAGCCACACTTTGACTATTGTTCCTCTATCCTATATCTATTCAATCAGAATAAATTCTCTCAACTCCAAAAACTTCAGAATCGTGGTATGAGGATCAATTTGAAGTGCCATAGAGATACCCCCATTACTACTATGCTTAATGTTTTAAATTGGCAATCATTTCCCCAAAGACTATTATATTTCACAATGATTTTTGTATACAAAATATTGAACAGTTTAGGACCATCTTATTTTGAATAGTACATTGTCTTTCATCATGACATTCACCACCACTTCACGTGAAATAATAATAATTTGTATATAAACAGAACAAAAACACCATGAATTCTTTGTTTTTCAAAGTTTTTGATCGGTTCAACAAATTACCAAATGGAATTAAAAATAGCCCATCTCTGAACATGTTCAAAAACAAACTGAAGAAATTTGTTTTCAATGTACAAGTATGATATGTATTGTGTTTGTTACCTATAGATACAATTTTCTTTCTTGAAATATTATCATGCTTACCTTATTGATCAACTTCAGAATGTTCTAACATTCATCTAATGTTTGTCAGAAATATTAGACAGAAATATTAGAAATGTATGTAAATTAGGATTTTCCTATTTCAAATAAAGATTATTATTATTCAAGCTTGCATCTTATGTGAGTAATCATGGTCAGCCGGTTTGTATTGGAAATTATATTTCAAACTCGATTCGCATAACGTCTAGAGTTCCCCAGGGATCATATTTGGGTCTACTTCTCTTCAACATTTACATAAATGATATTACAGAATGTTTCCAGTTTTCCAATTTTCTCATGTATCTGAAAATATTCCATGTAGTTTCTAATTGGAATGATTCTCCACTAATACAAGAAGACTTTGACAGGTTTATGAAATACTATGAAAATAATGCCCTTTACTCAAACCTTTAAAAATACTATCATATTACATTTTGTCGGAATAATCCATTATGTTTTGGCTATGAATTAGGAAACCATCATCTCTAAATATGTAATGAAGTAAAGAACTTGGAAATAATATTGATATTATCATAATTTTTGTTTAAGATATTTGAAAACTCTTCAATTTATTACATTACATTACATTAGTTGAATATACTCCCAAAAAGACTGGGCTCTGTATGGAAAATAATTAGAGAATTATGGAAAAAGGGAATGTTCATTATTTTTTACTTTCACTATGTTTGTCTTCGGTGACAGGGAAATTTTATCAGAGTAAAAGATTCATTCGAAAAACTTGTACATACCAAAAAGAATTTTCACAGAGTTCAAACCAAAATAGATTCCTAACGAGTTTTCAAATGTTGCAATTTGAAGTAACGTCGTGATTCAGTAACTAAATTTTCAGGGGAAATTATGAACAGTTTGAGCGGACGAAAACCGAAAAACTGAAAAATCAACAAAGGGAATATGAAGCACAAATGCAGCAAAGGCAACACGTTCAGGAGTTTATCGACAGGTTCAGGTATAACGCCAACCGAGCAGCCCTTGTTCAATCTAAGATAAAAATGTTGGAAAAACTGTAAGTATTCTAGAATTGTATCCGAACAGCTGAGATTGAGTTCAACTTATTTTAGACCTGAACTCAAACCAATTATTAAGGAAGCTGAGGTGGTGCTGAAATTACCAGATACAGAGCCTCTGTCTCCACCCATATTACAGCTGAATGAAGTTTCCTTCAGATATAATGCAGAACGAGTGATATTTAGTGATGTAAATCTTGGTGCCACAATGGAATCAAGGATTTGTATTGTGAGTTTTGTTTCATTTTTTAACAGTACCCTTAAGAGAGACTATTTTTTGCAAGGTTTCATTCCTGAAAATTCGTCATTAACTGCTTTATACATTATCAAAGGCATGAGGCAGTTCGACCTCACATCTATGTATGAGGAGACTTTTATCTTTTGATACTGTTTCATGAATTTTGTTGAACAAATTATTTGTTATTGGTATTAGAGGTAATGCATTTTTATGGTTTCAAAATTTAAAGTGATACGAAGCAATGTCTGTCTTTGGAAAATAAGAAAAGTTCATACAAAAATATTGTGTGTGGACTACCGCAGGGGTCTGTATTAGGACCCTTTCCTTTCTCACATAAATTCTGTTTCAGAGTTACAGCTTTCCGTGGGTTAGGTTAGGTCTAAAGTGAGTGGGTCTATTCGACCCTCCACTGCAACCTGCAAGGGTTTATTATTCACACTCGACCAAATAAACCCAGCTTCTTAAATAAGCCGATTAGTTTGTATGGTGAGTGGTCTTTCAGGTCAGATGGTAAGAGTACAGCTCTGCCGAGCTCTAAAAACCTGATTCGGTCCCAAGCGGGGCCGGCACAAAGTATATGCTCTGCTGTTTCATCATTTTCCAAACAGAGGCGACACACGCTGTAACTTTTGATGCTTTATAAAGCTCAGATCAGTCCTTCTTTGAAGGATTGTTCTCATGTATGGAGCTCTGCCCCTGAGCATACCCTGAAGCTGTTGGATTCCATCCAGAAAAGAACCATCCACCTGATTAGAGACGTGAACATTACTTGCAACCTTGATAGTCTGGAACATAGAAGAAAGGTTGGGGATTTGTCTCTTTTCTATACTTTCACGGAAAGTGTTTAAGTGACTTAGCACATTTGATTCCACCAAGACTGTGGCTGTTCATCGTTTTGAGGTTCAACTCAGTACACCTAGAACTTCACTGTTCAAAAACTCTTTCATTTGGAGAACTGCGTGTATGTGGAATAAACTTCCTGATAAAGTTTTTCCAGATGATTTAATCTCCGATTCAAATCCAATGTGAGTCGCCTCTTTCGCACAGGCATAGCTCATAGAGTAGTGTATTGCTTGTGTTTTGTCTTTAAAAAATATATTAGTACTATTAGCTGATGATACAACTTTGATGTATTAATGAAGGTTCACAGATAATATACCAACAAATGGATGCTGATTTAAAACAAAGATATTTGGCTCAGTGTACACAAATTAACTTTAAATTTTTAAAAATCTTCATTTATGTTTGTTGATAACAAACCTCCCTGAGACAACTTCTAAATTGATGTTAGGACACAACAATATCAAAAAGTCCACTAATGTTCAGTGTTTAGGTTCACATATAAATGAAATTCTTTTGTGGAATACCCAGATCGATATAATTCGAAACAGTTAGCACCAATCATTCGAATACTATTCAAAATTAGAAACTATATTTTTTTTAATCAGATGAAGTTGATTTACTTCTCTCATTCATTCAAAATTACAGTAACAGAAAACATCAAAGCTGCATTTTAAGTATCTCATTTACAAATTATTAAATTATATAGGGGATTTCAAATCATTTTATATCATATTAGAAAATGGAAGTCTGAACTACTGAAATTCATAATCATTATCATAATTATTTATGGCATACAATAAAATAAATTTTGAACTCATTGTAAAATCAGCTATGTTTAATTTCAGGTAGGAGACAATGGTGCTGGTAAAACAACGTTACTCAAAATCATCATGGGTATATTGTATCCAACATCGGGTATGAGGAACGTACACAGGAATTTGAAATTTGGTTACTTTAGCCAACATCATGTTGATCAACTGGACATGAATGTCAATTCAGTAGAGCTCCTTCAACAAGCATACCCAGGTATGTAGGCATTTTTCAAGAATTTCTCACCAGAACATCATGGGGGTGGTTAAGCTTTATAGAGAAATAAGGAATATTGGGATTTGAAGGATGTTCATGTTGACCCGCATATTGAGTTTTACATTACTCGACATTTCGGCTTCGGCTTTGAAGCTATTTTGAAGAACTGAAACGTATTATATCTACAAAGAAGTGGATTTGAATAATTTTGTAATGTTTTCATTTTGTGATCTAACAAAAGAGTTTGACACAGTGTCTCCTGAATTTTTAATTGCAAAACTAACCCAAATTGGTTTCCCAATTAACTTGTTGAAATGGATTGAATCTTACCTCAAAGGGCGTACTATGACTGTAAAATGTGCAATGACATTAAGCTTTGGAGTGCCACAGGGGTCAGTGCTTGGACCATTGCTTTTTTTATTGTATGCAAATGAATTGTCAGAATATCTGAAAGATTTCCACCTTACTATGTTTGCGGATGGTACCACTATCACAGTTACAGGGGGAAATATTGATGTACTGCTTAGTAAGGTNCGAGCGGCGCATAACTTCAAAATAATACACCTGATTGATTGATGTGGCAATCAAATTGATTGATTGCCACATCAATCAATTTGATTGACATCAAATTGATTGATGCACTACGTCACAGTAATAAAAGAAAACAATAACCAACATTTAATCAAACTTGATGTGCCTTTTTTGGTCTTGACTCTCCTGGGCTCTTCCATTGGGACGATTGGACTTTGTAAAGACTTTATAAACTTATTGCAATTGTTTGAAAATATCCTTATAGGACGAAACGGCAGTAACTTTTGAATATACAATAAAGAAAATACTTTTGTCTAGTTTCTACTGTGTTTATTTATTCGTTACGACCGGTTTTGGCTTATAAGGCTTGTAACTATCAAAAGTATTTTCTTTATTCTATAATATTATTTGACCTTTATATTTGAAAAATCCTGTTCTTTTATTTCCATGTACGAAGTTTTCTCCTATGGTCCAATATAGGAGTCTTTCATTTCTGCAAAACATTTTCACTTGAACAAATTTCAAGAAACAGATTTCTCTGTCAAATGCAATGCCAAATGCTTGACCAAGAGTCAAGATTGAATTTATATCAAAAAATCATGTTCTTTTGTTCCCATATATGAAAGTTCTCTCCGTTTGACCAATATAGGAGTCTTTCTTTTCTGCAAAACATTTTTACTTGCACATATTTCAAGAAACAGATATCTCTTTCAAATGCAACTCCTCTTTGTCAAGATTGACCTTATATCCCTCTTTCAAAAGATATTAATTGATTTTTACATTTGAAAAATCCTGTTCTTTTATTCCCATGTACGAAGTTTTCTTCAATGGTCCAATATAGGAGTCTTTCATTTCTGCAAAACAATGCCTCTTGGTCAAAATTGAACCTATATCCCTCTTACAAACGATATGAATTGACCTTTATTTTTGAAAAATCCTGTTCTTTTGTTCCCATGTATGAAATTCTGTCCATAGAAGTCTTTCGTTTAAAAAAAAACTAACTTTTTGTGGGCACACTAAGTAGATCAATGTTCTATTATACTAATCATAAGATGTGGGGTAGCCATGCCAAAAGGGGGTCTGACTCTGAGCCCTCTCAGTGTCGACACCAACGAAACCTCCCGTAGGAAGCCTCATCATAATATTGCGAGGATCTGCTATTATGGACCTTTTTTCCTAGCTGCTTGTAGGACCTTTTATGGACAATACAGGATCCAAATAATCTGACCATGAGTCTACAGACAAAATGAACGTCAACTAAACAGCTACCCCTCCTGTAAAATTAGATCAAAAGCAAGAGTCTCAGTTCTCCAACTCTTGATCCTGATAACCCAAGAGACTAGGAGGGTGCAGCTAGGAAGTGACTTATCTCCCCTCCTTAAGAGCAGGGATCTTATGAATCTGCCTTGCACCACATTTTTGAGCAGCAGAAGCAGAATCTGCATCAGGATATAAAACAAACTTCCCCTTAGCAGATTAACAAACTTACAGGTGGTTGAAGAGAATAAAATCTGGGTTGGTCAAATGGAACCTGAAATACCGAAAGTTTCGTTTGCTACTGCGGGGATGGAAGGTTGATAGTGGTGAGAGAGATGGCAGAGTATTCATGCAAATGCTCACTCCTGATTGGTCCGCACTTCTGCTGGGTCGTTCTGATTGGACTACACGGTTGTTACTAGGCATAACACTTGGGGGCATAACATTCGTTCCTGCAGACAACCCATATACCACTTCCGATGTCTGCCGAAGTAGCAGATGAAATATCTTGTACCTTAGGTTCCATTTGACAACGGCCCATCAACCCGGATTTTATTCTCTTTATAGGTGTCCTCATATAGAAAGGTTGCTGCCGTTATTAAAAAATTTTGCACCTTGGACATCCTACCAATCAAGTGAGAACTCTTCAGTACGCTACTATGGCTGCCATATACTTACTTGTGAAAGATTACGAATTTGTCATTGTAAGAGACAAATCTACTCATATCGTGACAGTACGTAATGACATTCATGCGATTATTTGGTCGGTCGGTAGCCGGTCGGTTCGATGTAGGTGCTTTGTTCACTCACTCAAATCGACCGCCGTGTTGGTCGGTGGTTCAAGCCCCAGGCTGTACGATCGATTTTCACTTGCTATCGTCCAACCCATGTTAGGAATCACACGTTAAAAGGTAAGACCTCGTTAGTCCTTAGCTCGCACAAGTTTCGACTTCTGAGGCTTGTCATTTATAAGGGTGAGACAGCTGGTTAACGGAAAAGATTTAAACGGAAACAGAATCCGAGCCATAGAGTTAATTTTTCAATAGAGAGGAAATAGTACACAACCAATAACTTTTTTGTCACATACATGTCTGCCCTGTTGCATTTGGGATCAGATTTTCAGAGGGCTGGGGCAGAGCCCCAGGTTTGTCAGCTGACCTGAAAAATCACTCATGAAATAAAGTAGTCAGCTCCCTTATGAAACAGGATTTATTTGGTCGAGTTTGAATTGGTGTGTCCTACAATAAACCCTCACAGGTTACAGGGTGGTCCACTCACTTTGGACCTACAAATTATTTTTTCTCGCGATTCGGAAAACGTTCATTGAAAATCCTTTCGGTCTCGTGAAAGTTACATGTCGCACCGTAAATAAAAATCACTTCAATTTTTTTTTTCAGTGGACGAGAATTCACCATTTTAGAAATTGTTGATGTGGTACCTGTCTGCTATTAAAACCGAAAACTAAACTAAACAACGATGTTCATTGTCGTCGTACTGACATTTTTTGTCGTTTATATAAACAAAAAATAACTTAAGAAACCTTATCGGGTTGTTGGAATTGCCATACGCCAGATAAAAAGGAAAATTTCTAGAAATATCGATATTACTGTATTTGTCTTCAGGAAATTATTAAATGTTCCGCCATTTTGTAGTAGGTGAAGATATTGACTTCATATTCTAGGGTTGTGAAGTATTCGTCAGGAGCTTCAAAATGATGTGTCACAAGACCCCCCTTTCCATTTAAATTTTTTTCCTCAGATGGCGCCCAGCCGCCATCTTGAAAGTTTGATCTGTCAATTTCACTTCAAAATAAGGTATTCCTGCATTAATTTCATTATCCCAAATTTCAATTATTCAAGTTGACCCGTTCAAAAAATAAAAAGGGCGGGGGGACATTGAAGAAATGCACTGTATTTTAGCCGTTACTGATTTTTTCAATTGTTCAAAGTCAAAATAAGTATGAAGACCTTCAAAATAATCTGAAACTGAGTGTGAATAATAATTCACAATATTTACCATTTTATCAATGTTCTTACCGTTCTTGATGATTCTTGGGATTAAGTTTTTTAAACATACAATTTTTCCAGGGAGGCGTCATTCTGGTTTCCCACGACGAACGGCTAATCCGAATGGTTTGCAGCGAACTTTGGGTGTGTGGTAATGGATCTGTCAAGAGTGTAGAAGGCGGTTTTGACGAGTACAGGAAGATCGTCGAGCAGGAACTAGAAGCGGCGGCACAATCGAAATAACACTTACCTAGCCAATTCTCAAAGACCTAATCAAATTCTAAGCACTGTGATCAATGTATCAGCGTGTTTCTTTATGAATAAGAAATTTTATTGTATAAATGTGCCTGTTTTAGATGACTTGTGCTATTTATAATCTTTTTTGTTACATTTAATATATTCATATTTATAACTGAACATGTTCATATGGAATAAATTATTTATAGTATACGTGAAGAAGTATCCTTTCCTAGGTTTTGAAATTCTTCTCTGAATTATAAATAACAGAGTTGAAGAATACTGAGATCATTTGTTATCATTTTCTGTAAAACATCACAAATATAGGATAAAAATATAAGATAAAACTGATAAGATATATGATGTAAGATAAGATATAAGATAAAACTGTTTGCCGACGACACTATGTTGTACTGTTCTGGGACAACAAATGAAATCTCAGAATGTTTGAATGAGGAACTATCAAATATAAACGAGTGGTTATGTGACAATGGCCTCAAGTTAAATATTAATAAAACAAAATGCATGTTAATAGGTAGCAAATATTGAAAAATATTATTTTGGTACGCCTCTGCAGAGTTGATAAGAGGATTATCCGTTGGTCACTTCAAGTGCGACGTTGCTAATGAATCACTTTCAATTGAAAATTGTTATAGTATATGTTGGGAAATAAATCACCACTTTTCCAATATTTTTTTTGTAGGTTAAGTACTTATCTGCCCGCCCTCGTGAGAGAGATGTAAAGTGTCTCTTTTGAAACTACTTTGAAGCGTTATATTTGAAGAGTTGAAATGACTTATAATTTTTTTGAATTAGTACTGTTTTCCTCTGGATGAATGAAACCAAACAAATTATCACAAACAGTTTATTTCATTATGTCAACTCACAATATCTGATACATAATGTAAAAAAATACAAAATAACCAACAATAGTGCGAACAATTATTTTCTAATATGATGAACATTAAAGTAATATACAATCATTAAAACACGA